CAAGATTATCAATTGAAAATGTTAATTCTCTAAAAGATGACGATGAATATTCTCAAAATTATGATCATTTAACTAATATGTTCTAATATCATTAAAGCATTTAAATATATACAATAGAAGATCGAGATCTACACGTTTTTTTAATTTTTTTTAAAGATCACGATCGCTCCGTGCCGCAGGTTACAAATTAGGAAAATTAATATAAAGATAACTTGAGACCTGTGCACATCCTAATTTTGGAAGCGTTAGTGTAACTAGCATTTATTATTAAAAAGAAATCGCGTATCTGTTAAAATATACTCGAAAACTTTAAGAAATCAAAATTCTATTTTATTTTTTTAACATACAAATTATGATTATAATTACTTAAATCTTATAAAAAATTGTTCAAATATTAGATAATAAATGATATACGTGCTCGTGCTTATTTACCGAAGCATTTGAACTTCGATCTTCAGCAATGATACCGAAATCAAAATCGATACCGGGTTATTATAACCAAATATAACAACACCCGAAATCAAAATCGATAACAGGTTATATAACCAAATATAACAATAACACATTATAAAAGTCTGAATAGGTAAGGTCAAAAGTTTTATTTGATATTTTTTTTAACAATGGGGAATTTTATTTTGGGCGCTCTATTGATATTCTTCAATTAGAATAATTGAGTTATAGGAAGCTGCAAATCATTTAATATTAGAAATTAGGCGTAGGTAAAAAAGTTGAACTCGGATAGATTTTTGGTCAGAAAAACAAAGCATCCATGTACGTACTGTAGTTATTTACATATCGTTAATTTATTAATCAACAATGATCTTAAATAATGCTATTGTCGTAATTTATGATTATTGTAATTATTAAAAAAAAATCGTCTCAATATGTCCTTTTTTTTGGAAATGGTAATTCAGTAATTAGATGATATAATGCAGTAATGACCTTTTTTATTATTATCGATAATCTGTTTTTTTTAAAAAAAAATATATTTTTTGATATCAAATATGTTTAATATTTGATCTTCATTTATGTGTCCTCGCTCGATGACGCTAAATTGTTATTTATATTGAAGATGATGTTACATCTATAATTTGGGTAGTTTAATCCAATTATATGATTTAAATTGCTTATTTTATATTCCCGTTTTTTGTTGAGCATTGATGTACTACGATACCCGAACATTTACGGGGTGGGTATTTACTTGTTTTGTGTTATTTTTTAGCGTTAGTGTACATTTTTACAACCTATTAGTTTAATTAGTTTAGCTGCTGCATCTAATCGTAGAGATACACCAGGATTTGAGATACAGTAATTTTTTTTTTATTACAAAAGGGGGGAAGAGAGTCCATTAAAATAATGAGTTGTAGAAATGTATATAATTCATTTATCACAAATTATATTTTTGCCACACCATGTAAAAAAAAAAAAAAAACAATTATAAATCTATCATTAGAAAAAAACATTCTTTTCTCCCTCTTTTCCTTTTTTTACTTTATTTTATTTATATACATATTATTATCATATTATATATATAAAATATTTACTTTATTCCATTTCTTTTTCTTCTTATTTTATTTTAGTTTTTTTTTTTTCATTTCAAACCTGGAGTTTAACTTGTTAATTTTCGTTATTAACTCTCATACTGTATTATTAGATATTAACAGAAATTACCCCAATTTTTTTAAACGATAAAAGTCTCGAAAGAATTTTTATATTTCATTTCGTTTTTTTACTTTTTGTTTTATTATCTATAATTTATCTTTTTTTCATATATATTTTTTTTTTTTTAATGGTATTATTATAAAAAAAAAAAAAAAAAAAAAAATAATTGGAATAAATTTTAAAAGATATCAGCTAAAAATTTTATAGTATGACTGGAACCGATGTAATAGACGAATTATGTGATATGAATGGTCAAGAGGACTCACAGATGGATGTTGCAAATTTTTTACCATTAATGCTCCAAGCTCAAGATCTCGTTAGTAAACTTGAAAGTCGAGTAGTGGAATTAGAAAGTGACCTTGAGGTATTTATAAAAAAAAAAAAAAAGCCATTGTAATTTCATTAAATTCCAACTTTAAATTCATAAAATTTTCGATTTATTATAATATATTTTTTATATCAATATATCAATTAGAATATAAATGAGAATCACGAACAAGAACGTAGTCAATTACTCCAAGAATTAGGTGAAAAAGATGAATATATTCATAATTTAAAAACAAAAGCTAATCGACTTGAATTTGGAACAAGAGAAGCCATAATAATTTTAGTAAGAGCTTTAGAAATACTTAAAGCTCAAAATCTTAAAGATGATGATATTAAAGATGATGATGATGATAATGCTACAGCTGTTGAATCAATAGATTTAGAAGGTCAATTTTTGGATAGTATCAATTTATGTTTAAATTATTTGAAATCCGCTCAAAATAATCAAAAAAATTTTCTTAAAAGACCTTCTTTACCACCTGTACGTCATGATTCAAAATTTCCTTCAAATAATAATAACATTTCTAATTATAAAGTTGAATTAGTTATCCCGCAACTTGATCCTATATCTTATAATGTTGTAAATAATAATCTTGATACAAAAGATTGTGTAAATAATAACTCTCAGGTTCTCCATGATGATAATAATAATAATAATTCAAGAAGAGAATCTATTGGTAGTAGTCAAATTTCGCTGGACGATATACCTGATCTTGATGAATATGATTTAGATGGTTCCGAAGATATTGCTGATTTTGATGCTTTTATATCTGATGATGATGATGATGATGATATTTCTTCAAGATTATCAATTGAAAATGTTAATTCTCTAAAAGATGACGATGAATATTCTCAAAATTATGATCATTTAACTAATTTTGAAAATAATGATATTATCGAATTTCATGATGAACCTAAAGAAATTGAATATGATAGGGATGACGATGATAATATTTTACGTCCTTCAAGTTCCGTTTCTAATTCTAAATCTGAAAATTTTTGTTCCAGTTGTAATACTTTATTAGCTCAAGTTGATCAACATATTGAAGAACGTACTTACCTTAAACGAGATCTTTCAGCTTTGGCTGTATCTCTTGCGGAAAAAGAGACCCTCTGTGTAAAAATTCAATCAAGTAAAGAATCTTTGGAGCAAGAAATTGATGATTGGATAAATGGAATGTTTGAAAAAATTAATCAATTGGTATTTGACGAAGCTAACACTCGTGAGGAATTAGAATATTTAAATAGAGAGACTAAAGGAAAATTAGAAAATGCTTTAAAATCTTCGGGAAGTAGGCAAGATAAATTAAGAGAAATGAAAACATTATTGGTTCACTTGGATTCTACTAAGCAAAAACAAACTGCTCCATCATTAAATGATCGAAATTCTGTTCTTCATCGAAGTTTGACAAATTCATTGATCAATAATCAAAGATTTAGTAGAATTTTTAGTCATATGTCACCTACCATTTTTTCAACTAAAAATCCTTTTGATAATATAAAACGTATTTATATTGATGGTATAGTTTTTGAAGAATTTCAAGAATATGTTAAATCTCTTATAAACTCTACGCCACCTACTAGTTCTAATCCTACTCATCAATTTATGAAACGTTGTATGAGAGAGGATATTCAACCATGTTTATTTGAAGGTAATTCTGGATGGAAATCACCATTTTACAAAAGGCGTTTATTAGATGCTATCATGAAAAATCAATGTGAAATACAAACGATACATTTTAGTATTTCAAGTTCAATTTCAAGCACACCGAATACTAGTCAAATCAGTAGTCCTATAGATGCACCAAATAATTTTAATGAACCACCACAAGCACCAAAACTTAAATGTGGACTTTGTGGTAATTTTAGAAGTTGTGATTTTCGTATGAAAATTTCAGATTCGGACGCTATAGTACCACCATCGACAACAACTACCTCATCATATCGATTTTCAATCTCAGGAAACCCAGAATGGATTCCACTTGATAGGTTCTGTCGGGATCGTGTTGTTGCAGTATGTGATTTTTACGCGTTCATTTCTCATTTACGTCAAGGGTTATTTTCAAATTCACCAGTTTGGGGAATGTATAAACAGTGTCTTAAATATCGTAGAAAGATGAGTATGGCACGTGTTGGTAATGTTAGTATGTTTGAAGATGAGAATACTGTCAATAATGATTACTTGAACAAATCTGAAATGGAAGGAATGGTTGTTGTCGTACATTAAACATTAATAGCATTAATAGTTAAAGATTTATTTTAATTCATTCATCTTTATTCGTCGTTTTTATATACATCAGCTATTCTTTGATTATGGTGTAAATATATTCTTATTGATTTAATTTACATCTGAATTTTTTGTGAGATTAGGATAAAAAAATAAAAAATATCAAGGGCGTTGAAATTAAATTCTAAAAAAAAAAAAAAAATGAGGTTTTCTTTCATAACACACTATTTGTTAAATTAGCTTTTTTTAATATACCAAAAAAATAGAATCGAGTTGAATTTCAGAAATATTTACATAATGTAAAAATAATAAAAATAATAATAACGTAATAATAATAGTAATAATTATCTAAGGATGTTGTGAGAACATCAAACGATTACAAAAGTTACGTTTTTGATTCATCAGTATAATTTATTTGTATTCCTCAAATAATTTTGAAATATCGCACAAGCGTGTCTATATTTGCGTGACATACACATATTGCACCTGTTACATAGAACACAATGAAAGGTTCCGGGCACACAACGTAATAATAATAATGAAAATTGGGGGTCTCGATTTGAAACTATAAACCCTACTTAAATCTTTAAATATAAACCCTAACCCTAAATTCCAATCTAATTATAAAAAAAAAACTAAGAAAATACACCCCAAAAACTTAATAAAAATTTTCAGCTTCAGCCACCACAATAATTGTTCAGAGGTAGCAAAAGACGTTCTTAGTAAAATGATGCAAAAATTCGGTTTTTAAATCGCCTCATTAGTTAAAAAGTAATTATATATCCGCACGCGCGTGTTTATATGGAATCGACCAGGGCGGTCTCCCAAAGTGCAGATTGATGGCGTAGTAGCACCATAAAGTTGTAGACTATAAAAAGAAATCATTTTACGTTTAATTGTTCGTACAACACGATATGATTGGTAAATTATTTAGCTGCGGCAGTAGCTGCGCCATCAATCTGCTCTTAAGTCTGAACACTCTAATAGGAGATTGAATTCTTTTGTTCTTGTATTACAAATTGTAAGTATTACAAATTTAGTTAATTCAAATTTATATTCGAATCTAAATCAAATCCAAAAGCAATCAGATTTAAATCTGAAGGTCGAATCCAATACTATCCCAATTGTGATCACGACAATTTTAAGCATTTGAAATTAACTCGAGTTTTATCCTAAATGTGTATTGCCCCAAGAGTAAAATTTATTCATGCATGACTCAAACGGCATGTACCATATATTTTAAAATAATCATGACAATATAAATTGCAAATCAATTTAAAATTTGTGATGTATAATCACATGTAACTTTATGAAAAAAAAGAAAAAAAATTCTTACAAAAAGTTTAAATTTTTCATATTTTTTTTTCGTAAATTCTCTATCCTTTGAAAAAAAAAATGCTTTATGCAAATGTATGCATATCAAAAGGAAGTAAAACATTACATGGATGGTATATACATTCAATTCTATATGAAATAATGTTTAAAGAATTCTTCTATAAGCTGATAAATTATGAGATTTTATCAGATACATTAGTTGATATGAATGATTTTGAGCAAATAAAATGTATTGATTTAAGTAAATCAACTAACCTATCAATAGAGACAACACAAACAAGTTCAGACTATAAAATTATTGAACTTATCAGTGAGTTTGGAAAAAATGTTCATTATTATCTTTATAATGATGAAATACAAAATAGTAATATAGAGTCTGGTGATCTTAATATATTAGTTAGGTTGTCAGACTGCTATATAAGAGGTCTGGAGTTCAAATCTTATAGTTAACAAATTTGAATAATTACCTGAACCTTTGTATCTAACTTATAGTAAACCTTATCTATTTTTGGAGTTGTAACTCTATAAATCACATTGCACTAATATTATTTGAATATTAGAAGTGTGATGTAATATTTGAAAAGATGTAATGTTATATAAATAAATTTTAATAAGATCTATAAGCAGAGGACCTGTATGGTAGAAACCTCAAGTAGGTAAAGTAGTATAGCTTTTGATAGTTACACAGCTAATACTTGATTCAGAAGGATACAATGCTTAAAGACTTTAATTGGGTTAGATGTATATAAGTCTGTATCATAGTAGTGATCACTATATATTATAGTAATACCAACTTGGCTTAGTAGCTAACTGAATTGGGAGAATTTAACTTGTAATAGGCCTCAGCAAGATCTGTAAATGATACTAGTGGAGAGCTACAGTAGAAACTAAGGTCATATAAATATCTACAAGGGTCTTAACTAGGTGAATCTGTAAAATAAGTATAGAATATTCTAGTAGATATAATTATGAGGTTAACTGAAGCTCTGCAACTTACAATATATTAGACATATACATCCCAAGAAGATCTAAGTTATACAGTATAGATCTATGAATAAGTTAGCTAGCTTAAGTGATCAGATGTAGTAGTGATGTTAGTTTGAAATAAGAGGAAGAGTTAATGATCAAAGTGTTTAAATAGGTAACTCACAGGTAGATTGCAGATATAGCAGTATATGTAGAACTAACAGATAGTTAATTGTCTGTATGATAGACTACTTAAATTAGACAATAGCTAAAGTTGTACATGTAGCTTGTTATACACTCATCATGTAATTATAAAATCTTAGGAGACTACTCACATAGTAGCTCCATAATAATAAATTAATAAAATCTAATTAGCAGTCAGACAACCTATTCACTACACTAGATCACTGAACCTTAATTATAAGATTATTAAATATAGTATATAGCAA